TTCAGAATTCTTCTGAAAGAGCGACCCTTGAAGAGCACCACCAGAATCATGAAGACTTAAGAACAAGGAAAACACTGGACTCCACTCTGCAACTATTGGGTAAGAAATCCTGGGGTGGGGCTCAGTAATCTATACTTTAGCGAACCTTCCAGGCCACTCTCTTCATAATGAAACTTAAGAAGTGTGCTAATGGTGCTCCAAGATGCCCCATATGGTAGTGCACACTATAATCCCAGCAACAGGAAGGTGGAGCAGAAGGATTGCTACAAGCTTGTACTCAGCCTGGGCTGCACAGTGAAATACCAGAAAAGGCTGCATAACAACAGACTTGGCAATACAATACAAAACCACTCTCCTCCGTCTCGGCATGAATTATCTCACTTAGCACCCCCAACTGCCTAAAATAGACATTACCCTTACATATGAGGATATTTATGGCTTAAAGGGTTTAATGATTTGTCTAAGTCCCCTAGCCATAAAAGGTGACCTTATGAGTTCAGTCCGACGGGCACCAGGAATGGGCTTCCCAAGAAACGGGAGTATCAGCTAGGTGCCACAGCCCCAGAACTCAAATAAAGAGTCTTGAGTAGTTTGACCTTTTTACTATTTGCTACTCATTTTAACTTCTTTGTGTTTTAGTTCCTGAGAAACCCATCAGGGTAGAATGGGCTGAAAGAAACCCATTAACATTCTAAAATGCTCAGGAATTGTTCTGTATAAAATGCTATTTGTATGACTCCCCATTTCGCCCCTTTACCTCAAACATACACCTTTAAAAAGACTCCTTTCCTGTGCCCACCAGTGTTCTGCACACTCTTCTTACCCCCTCTGATGGCTAAGCCCAAATGGCAATTACTTAGGACAAAAGAATAAAGTAAAAAGACGTCTTAGGGTTGCATGCCTTTAATCCCAGCACTAGGGACGCAGAGGCAGACAGATTTCTGTGAGTTCGAGGCCAGCCTGGTCGACACAGTGTGTTCCGGGACAGCCAGAGCTGCATAGTGAGACCTTGTCTTAAAAAAAAAAAAAAAAGAAAGAAACAAAAAAAAGAAATTAAATAAGGAAAGGCTGCCCCCTGCTGTCCATATCTATGAATGACCACAACCTGATTTCTGCCCAATTGATCTGTGATGTTTGCCCAGGTTATTGTTCTTTTTTTAAAGGAGTGAACTAGTGAATGAGTAAATAAAAGAATAGATAGATGATAGATAGATAGATAGATAGATAGATAGATAGATAGATAGATAGATAGATAGATAGATAGATAGATAGATAGATAGATAGATAAAATTTTATTGTTGTTTAAAAATACTGCCGCCTTTACGTTTGGTCTCAATGCCCACCCAGATGAGCAAACTGGAAAAACACCATCAGAAACTATGACACTAAAACACATGGTACTATTATCTTCAAGGCCAGATGATATTAAGATACCCAGCTATATGATTAAAAAGAAACTCTGGCTTAATGAATAAATCATTTCTAGGGAAAGTGAGAAATCAAAAGGTGAAAAAATAGATCAAAATAAAATGTATAGCTCAATGGAAAAAGAATGAAGAATGGATTTTACCACCTTCCAAATGATAAAAAAGATTGGCTTTTTTACTCAGGCTTGCAGTAGAGTTGTAAGATCGGCCACTATTGATGAGACAAACAGACTGTCTCCCCTTTGCCCTGTGTCCAGTTCAGAGCACCAGTAGGTTACAGCTTCCTGTCTGGCCCAGGAGGTGCCAGGCCTCCTGCTGTGACAGAAACACACTTAAGAACCTCTTCTGATTATTTACTTGACTGTGTTAACAAACCCAGTCCTAGAGACTTTGAATCAAAAACTCAAGGGAATTGGTTAGAGATTTGCATCCTGACAAGCTTCCTAAGGGGCCCAGGCCTCTCTGAGCTAAAAGCAAGATCATGAAACAGCTTCTTACAAAAACCGATCTTTGGAAAAAAGTAATGACTTGAAACTAAGTATTTTTTTAGCAGAAGATTTTCATATATTTTTATATAAAATGGCATTTTATTAGTTATCCTTCCTTTTATACTGATGTTTTAAATTTTTATTTAAAACAAATAATATAGGTATATGTCTCCAAAACTGAAATCTCACCACAAACTCAACAGTAAGAAATGGCCCATGCTCTGCCACTGTCATTGGTGGGTAATTGCCTTAAATAGTTTGTTTTGTATTTTTACCTGTATTTCTTTTTGGTTTTGTTTTGCAGTTCTGAGGAATCAAACCCAGGGTCTCCATCACGCAAGCAATCCACCAGTGAGCAGCTGGCCTTAAACTCATAACTATCTTTCTACTTCGGCCTCCCAAGTGCTGAAAGTTTCACTTGTATGCAACTGTACCTACAAGGTAAATTTTCTTGGGTGACATTTTGGATGAAAATAAAAATGAGAACGCATTTATACCTTCATTGTTGTTTTCTGGTCATTTTCTAGATAGGTTGTGGGGTTTTTTTGGTTTTTGTTTGGTTTTGTTTTTTGTATTCCTACTAGCAACAAATATACTCAAGTCTTTATTTCATTGTGAAGTCCCCCAAAAAACAGTCTCTAATAGCCCAATTTTTGAATTGCTAAAAGGCATGCTTTCAATGTAATTTTTCTTCGTATTATCATGGTAAGGCCTTTTCCCTACACTTAGGCACCATTTTGATTTCTTTTTCTCTAAAACATCTGCTATTTGCCTTTTTAAAAAAAATTGAGCTGTTAAATTGTCTTCTCATTGATTACTAGTCCTGATGGTGAGAATTGCAAATATTTTCCCAGGTTTTTAGTTAGCTTTTGATTCTGTTTCTATTCCTTATATAAATGTGACAAAATTACATAGTCAAGTCTATCTTTTCTTCATCTGGGTTTTACATCATCACTTGACAGGCAATAAAAGGAAGCATCACTGGGGGAAAGATACCCAGGGCATGCAAGGGCAGGTTGGACTTCAGAGTCAGTTTGTCTGTTTTTGAGATGGAGTCTCAAAGAATAGCCCTAGCTGGCCTGGAACTCTGGACATAGACCAGACTGGACTCATATTCCCAGATTTGCTTGCTTCATCTCACAGCACTAGGATGTGTGCACCTCCACTCCCTGCCAGACTCATCTTGAACCACGAAATTTGAACTATCTACCAAAGCTTTGAAATGTCTTCAGAGAAAGACTACCTTGTGACTATGATCACATGGCCCTGTGGTTATAGATTAATTAGGATGATTTCCAAACTGTGTCTCTCCCTACCCAGCCTCCAAGGAGACTTGTCCCCATCCCCCTTTGCCTAACTTGACAAGTAATGACATGATAACACTTGTGGTCACTTCACCTTATTTCATACCCATTCCTGGAAATATGATGCATCTTTACCATCATTCTAAGAAGTCCAGAGTCTAGTTAACCCCTTGAGAAGGCTTGAGTCTGTCTCAAGAGAGAGAGTCCGCATGCTACACAGTCTTGCTCTTGGGAGGAAGATGTAACCTCTGAGTGACGCACAGCCTTGGAGCAAGGGCAGAGCCAGGCTAGATTGGGGGCTGTTACTTCTTCATAGGGTGGGTGGTTCCCTTATATGACGACAGCTTGAGAAGGGTGGATACGAGAGGGGATCCAGCCTCTTCAGCAAACAGCACTGCAAAGACACCCAGCTCTAAGGGGACAAAGACATTCAAAAGAAGGCCAGGGGGCAAGGAGGAAACTCCCCGTATTGGCTCACTTCTTACACCACCTTGCACAATGGGGGCGATGTCACCTTTTCTATCTTCAGCTCCCCTCAGAGGACCAGCTGCTCTGGTGGTTTCTTCCAACCTTCAAGGGGTGGACCTATGGGTGGGTCGTTTTTGTATAAAGCTGTAACATTGTGGGGACAGGGGGCACGGTGATTCAATTCTATGGGAAACCTTTACAAAAACCTTTCTGTCTGTCCCCAAGGCCCCACAGTCCTCTGTTTTTCTCCTGGGACCCAGGCGTAGATGTGTTTAGATCCAGAATGCTTCCACTTTACCCCTGCTGTTTGCCAGGTCAAGATCATGGAAAAGAAAAGGGCCTTTTCATCGGAAGCCTCCTATGCAGAAAGATCACAAACGTAAGAAGAATGACTCAGTGGCCCCAGAGGCAAAGGATACAGGGATACCCCTTCAGCCAACCCCTATGGAACCAGACCACCACCACCAGAAAGGTGAACCAGATGTGAACAATTCTACAGATTGCTCAAAAAGAAGCCATGGAGATCTCAGCTCTGGGCTGGTCCTGGGAACCTGCTCTCGGCAAGCCTACCTCACTTTGATGGACCCTCAGAGAGACACTATATATATATATATATATATATATATATATATATATATATATATATATATATATATATATATATATATATAGTGTCTCAGAGAGAGGGCATTCTTCATAAAAAGGGATGTCGGTCCCACTCGATGGAATCTGCCGTGTTCTACATGCCCACAAGTCTAAGATGTAAAGAGAGGATGGTCCCAGCTAGTGTCATTTCTTCTAGGGTCCTCTAGACACTAGCCGGGACCATCCTCTCTTCACACCTTAGGCTTGTTTTCCTCCTTGCCCCATGGCACTGTGCAAACACAGAAGTTTTCTTTGGTAAAGGAACCAGACTCACAGTTGTAGGTAAGATATCTTTCAGGTAAATTCCCAGGTCTGTCTTAGGACAAAGCATGTCCTCTGTGTCCATTTTAGAATTCCTATATTTTGATGTGCAAACTATGACTACACCTTCGGCTCAGGGACCAGGCTTTCAGTAATAGGTAAGATCTAAGGGTCTTTGGGTATGGGATGAAAAGTATGACTCTGTCCTGGGAACCAGAAGAAGGATCTAGCTAAGGGAGAAAGCCGGTTCATGACAAGGACTACATTCTAGGGAGGCTGAATCCACAAAGGTGGTCTGAAGGTTCCTGGCTGAGTCAAGAGGGACCTGGGATGGAGGACAGGAAAGAGAAAGGAGATGGACTCACAAATAGTGAGGAGTTTTGAAGTGGACTTGGGAGGCTGTGTTCTGGAAACACGGTCTATTTTGGAGAAGGAAGCCGGCTCACTGTTGTAGGTAAGTTAGGGCCAAATGGCTGTGCACCAGAGGCAGCCCCTGTCTGGGGTGCCTACGCCGCAGTGTACTTCTGTCAGGAAGATCTAAATTCCTGTGCTCATGCTTACAAGAAGGGAAGAATGTCCATCTCCAATATTTCACAGGCTGGCTGTGCCAAGCCTAGGCACCCTGCTAAACGCAGGCAGGTTCAACTGGGAGTCAGCCTCATATACTGCTCATAGTCCTGCTGCTTGACCCTCTCACACAGTCAGAAGACAGATCTTGGAGAGGAGGATGCATGGACCCACCAGGAAAACTGACTGTCAATGATATTAGTTCCACTCCCAGAGATAAAAGCGTCCTTGAGAATGAGGGAAGCTAGCTGGCAGGTGGGCACGGGGAGGAGGGCAGAAATCAGCAAGCAGTTTTACCACCAGGCTTTAATGTTGTGTTTCCAACGAAAGATTATTTTTCGGTCATGGGACCAAGCTGTCTGTCCTGGGTATGTAAAGGGTTTCTTTCTCGGGAGGGTATGTTGTAAGCCTGGGGGTGCGGGAAAGCTCCTTGGAGAAGGAAGGGACTGAAAACTCAGCCTAGGTTGTGGCTCAGAGGATGAAAGGGTGGAGAATGTGCTGGAGCCCCTGGGAATTCCGTGTGGAGTCAGGATCTCAAGGAGGGCCCCAGCAGCTGCGGTGGGGGGGGGGGGGGGGGGCTGTTTGTCACTCTCCTGTTGTACTGTGTAACAACCAGGCCCAGAATTTTGGAGAGGGGACTCGACTCTCTGTTCTAGGTAAGCTACAGAACCAAAGAGGTGGTGGGGCTCCTGTCCCTTAGAGCCAGAGTGTCTGGGAACCCCCAGTACTGATGGAAGGGGTCGAGGAATTTATTCTTTTACTTACTGGGGTCTAAAAGGCTCCTCTAACCCCCTTATGACAAGGTGAACCCGCAACTGCTTCTTTCCCCAGAAGTCTTCAGTCCCTGAGTGGTCTCCTCCCTACCCCCAGCGTGATCTTACCTTTCTGTTTGCATGGATGTGCTCCTTCTGCGTCCCTTCCTCCTGTCCCCTCCTGTCACATGCCTCATGGGATGACTGTGGTCTAGAATCCTGCCTGCAGGCAGAGAGTGGCAGTCATCCAGCTCTCAGACAACTAACCTAGACCTCTGGCTTGGGGCCACTAGCGGGTTTTACCGGGGCCGCCTGCCGCTGTGTTCCTATAATTCGCCCCTCTACTTTGCAGCAGGCACCCGGCTCACTGTGACAGGTATGGGGGCTCTATTGCTGACTGGAGGGGTGTCTGTGTTGGATCACAATGGCCTGGGAAAGGAACTTAGGTATAAAATTGGAAGGCCGAGTCACCCGTTCCCATCTGGAACCCTGTACCTTCTCCTGCTTTCCCTAGGGCCTGGCAGCTTGCCGATCCCTGAATTGGTTTTCTCCTTCTAGTCACAGGATGCCTTGCTTTGGGGCTTTGAGTCTTTTGCCTTCTTTTTATTACTCTTTGGACTCCCATCTCTGTAGTTTCTAAACGATGCATTGCCTTGTTTTCTCTCTAGTACCACTTCTCCGCCCTTTCCATTCCCATTCTTTTTCTGCACTGTTGACTTGTTTTGGTACATGGCTCTGTCTTCTGATTTGAAATATTGACACTGACCTCCAGTGCAGACTTCTAATCCTGCCTTCATCTTTCTTCCTCTCTCTATCAGTCTCTGAAGACCCCTGTTTGTCTTCCTGGTGTGTTTTAAAGGGCTAGATGGCAGCGGGGACCAGGCTGGTGGTGACTTAAGGGCTGATCCTGAGTAGAGGGCATAAGTCTTTGTTATAGCATTACAGGAGCTGTAGGCTGCCTACAGGGAAATTTGAAGTACATTGTACTTGGTGGGTATCTCAGGCATAGATATGAATAAGCTTACAACCAGAAAAATGATATATTAGCAACAGCTACAGATTATGTATAAAGAAGAAAAAAGAGATAAGCGGTCCTCAGACTCCGGATCTGTCTTGGGATAATAAGCTAATGTATCTGTTGTGAAAGCCCAACATAACCAATATGATTGCGAGGAAAGCAGACAGGCTGAGGGAGCAGGGTAGGGAAGTGATGAGGTCTGAGAGAGAGAGAAAAAAAATGGAAGGATGGGGCAGCTTGGTTCTCCCAGGACTGGAAGCTTGCACAGATATTTTCTTGAAGATAGGACCCATGCCATAGATACTAAAGGAAACTACTGAGCACTGGATTCAAATGCCTGGAGCTCAAAGGAATAAAGTTGGGGAACTGTCTGGTGATAGCCCTAAAAAAAAGTGTTTTTTTTTTTAATGCTAAGCTGTCCCAGGGTCTGTAAGACACATAAAATAGGAAGGAGTATTTAAAATTAACTTTAGCTTAAAGGACCAAGTTAAAATTATCGGTTTTGTTTGCATTTTACTTTTGAGAACCTCATGCATGAGTATTGACTCTACATCTCTCCTATTCTTCCCTCCTTCTCTCTCACTCCTCCCATACCACTTTCTCTCTCCCAAGTTCGTTTAAAGAATTCAAAGGTCACCTCATGTGACTACCTTTATTTCTATTATTGATTTTCCTTCAAGCCACTGTTTGTCTTTTTCAAACCCATTTTTCAATTTCCCCCACAAGTCCCTAACTTCAGACAGAGCAAAGAGATCTCATATTGTTGTGTTTCTGCATCAGAAGAACCTTGCCTTCGTGTCAGAACAGAGCCAGGGAGGGAGGATGTTAAACTCCACAGAAAGGAACGATGCTTGATGCTTGGAGGTTGTATGTGAATTTTTGCATCTCTGGTGTCTTCAGAGGGTGTCATTCTTTTCAACAATCCTAGAAGGTTTTTCTGTCCCATCTTCCAAGTGTGTGAGTGGCCCAGGCCATTCCAGAGGAGACCCGCTTCTGAAAGGACCATTGTGCTTTAAGATTTGTTTATAGGAGCAATTAATCATTCACTACATTAAAGAATACAAAGTTAGGCTGTGAACTAGAATTATGAAACTCATCAAGGAGGCTTGCTGAGCATGGAAAAATAGAAGAGTTCAACCTATGAATAACATCTTCCACAGGATTGCAGTTTTCCTGAGCAAGCCGCCACAGCCCTCTTACACCTCAGTGTAGGAGTAAATGTGGAACATCAGATAGGCCATGAGCCAGAGACAAGCTGGGACCTCAAAGCAAGTACATGCAGGGGGAGGGGGAGTGTTGAGCAAGGTATTCAGAAACTTAGAGACTTTTCTGGATGTTATGTTGAAAACGTCTCTTTTAGGCAACAAATATTGATAGTATGCAGAATCACCCAAGCACATTAATATATTCACCACGCCCCCCAAAAGAAAATAGTAATAAAAAAATCACCTCAGTTCTTAGGATCATGATGTTAATATGACACTTTTGCCTCAAAATTCAAGCTCTCCCAATTCGACTATTTCAAATCTAAAAGATCAGATAGCCATGCACAGATTATGATTTTGAAAGGAAAAAAAACTGGGTATATTCTTTTTCATAGGAAATCAAACGAAGTCACAGTATGTGAGGCATTACAAGAAAGTCCAGAAAATCAGGGGACCCATTCCACCTTAGGAAAATGGGGGAGAGAGTATACAGGGCATATACTTAGATAAACCCATAAAAAAGAGGGAACATCAAGGGAGACCCGCAACAGAGTTAGACAGTGACAGAATGGTAGCAGGACCGACTATACTATGGTTTGTAATGTACTTTATAATGACCATTTCCAGCCCCCTCTCACACAGTCCAAGCCAGGGCTAGATAGCTCTCAGACCTGTCCTTCTCTCTTCATTTTCAGAGGACCTGAGCAAGGTGAGCCCACCCAAGGTCACCTTGTTTGAGCCATCAGAAGCAGAGATCATCGACAAACAAATGGCTACCCTCGTGTGCCTGGCCAGGGGCTTCTACCCTGACCATGTGGAACTGAGCTGGTGGGTGAATGGGAAGGAGCTCCGCAGTGGAGTCAGCACAGACCCTCAGCCCTCCAAGGAGACCAATAACATCACCTACTGCCTGAGCAGCCGCCTGAGGGTCTCTGCAACCTTCTGGCACAATCCTCGCAACCACTTCCGCTGCCAAGTCCAGTTCTATGGGCTTACAGCTGAAGATGAGTGGGACAAGCCCTCGCCCAAGCCTGTCACCCAGAACGTCAGTGCAGAGGCAAGGGGCCGTGCAGGTAAGTGGGACCTGGGGAACAGCTGGTAAGAAGAATGGGCATCACTAGTATCAAAGAGAAACGGAAAAATATAGGCAAAAGCCAGAAGGAAGCCTAGATGCAAAAAAACAAACAAAAACTGTGGCAGGGGACTAAAGTTTGCCAAGAAGATAAGCTAGACAACCACAGCTAATCCTAACACCAGATCCTCAACCAGCAGCCTTACCTGTGGGGTCTCCTTTCCATGACCCTGTGCAGCTCAGCCTCTGAATCATTATCTTTAGTGCTGAAGCCATGGGTTTCAAGAATAATGGGTTTGCATTGACACAACAGAAGAGAGAGGGTTCTGGGGCCACTTGGAGAGGCAGATCTGGACCTGTCAAACTGTGCTAGCCTCAAGGCTGGCTTAATTTTCAGTCTGCTTAATAAAAAGAGGTCTCATCCATTTTTCTGTCTCCCTTTTCTTGCAGATTGTGGCATAACCTCAGGTGAGTTGACTCCCTCTTCACTTCTCATGACCTCGACTGCAGAGCGAGCTGCCTGTCCAAAGGTACTTACCTGCTCTCCTTTACTCTCAACAGCATCCTACCAACAAGGGGTCCTGTCGGCCACCGTCCTTTATGAGATCCTGCTGGGGAAAGCCACCCTGTATGCAGTGCTTGTCAGTACCCTAGTGCTGATGGCCATGGTAAGGAATGGGCAAGTGGACCACACAGGGGAGGTGACAGGTGGCACACAGGACACTGAGATCCAGGGGTTTAAGGGCTCTAGCATAACCAGAGGTGAGCAACAGACAGAGTTTTGCTCCCATACCATAAAAGACAAGCAGAAACTTCAAAAACTGCAGTGAATGAGTCATGCAGAGGATGAGCTGTGGCAATCCCAAACCCCAAGGGATATTTGAGGAGCCCTATCATTTTTCTGAATGGCCTTTCCTACTTCCTCTCAAGCTCCACTGTGCATGGCCCTTGGTAAATCTAAAACCTTTCTCTTCCGCAGGTTAAAAGAAAGCATTCCTGAGGCCAGACCTGGAGGCAGAGCCCAGAGCTTCCAACCCATTATGCGAACTCGGATTCTCTTTTTCCAGTACTTCTGAAGAGCTGTTCTCACTTGTCTGTGCATCCTAAAGTCTGCCTTCTGGTCATGCATGCTTACACATGTTCATCTGAAATCCCTGTGACCTGGAGAATGCCTAGCTCACTTAAAACCAATAAACATAACCAATAAACATGTTCTAGAATGACCTATTCTTGTCTGTCCCTGAACTCCTTGATCAATCATGAAAGAAGAAATATTCAAAAAATGGTGACCTCCTCAGGTAAGAAAAGTAAGGGCCCCCACCCTGAGAGTAACAGAAGAGGCTAAGTTTGGAAGGTGGTGATGGGAACTAAAAATTCACAAGAGAGAAAGACAGGTTCTGAGTACAGAAAGTTTCTGATCCTCAGAACAGCACTCTGGGAGCAGCAGCTACAGGTTACCCAAAAGTATCCATCTGCAACTGGTCATTTTCTATTGGCTAACAAGGCTTGGTTCCCTGTGTGTGACCAATCTTCCTTTCAGCCTCTCAGTGAACACATGTTTGTTCACCAAGCAGCTTTCCCAGTTGGGCACAATCATGCAGTCTTGGAAAACTATATTTCAATGGGAGACATGCCTTTTGTTTAAGATACCAATCTGTTGGTAAATTATTTCTTAGTGAAATAGGTGGATTTAAACAACACCCCATGGTTGTGCCCAGAAGTACAGAAAATACAACTTCCTAAAAGCAAGAGCAAGACTTATTTCTACATCTAGGAAGCCTTCACGAGCTCCCTGTGTTCTCATTGTCACCATGGCAGTATATTCATGTTCTAAAAATGGTAGGGTAGTCATGTCATGATGGGGTAGTCATGTCACCATGGTAGGGTAGTCATGTCACCATGATGGGGTAGTCATGTCACCATGGTGGGGTAGTCATGTCACCATGGTAAGGTAGTCATGTCATGATGGGGTAGTCATGTCATGGTGGGGTAGTCATGTCACCATGGTGGGGTAGTCATGTCACCATGATTGGGTAGTCATGTCACCATGGTGGGGTAGCTACCATCCTGAGAATGGCATAAAGAGCTGATGATTCATTTTACCTCATAATCCCACATACCCCCACTCCTCTCATCCCTTTCAGACCATTCTTATGTTCTTCTGCCTGCTCCATCTGGAGCAATGTGGTGCCCCTTCTTCCCCCAATAATCCTACGTGGCTTTAAGTGTCTTCCTGAAACCTTCTCTAGCATTCTGTTGCCAAATCCTTACATCTAACTCCCTAAGACTAGATCAACTACACCCTGTATTTTACCATCTAGCCCCTTGTGAAGACCTCCTTCATGACACTTACTGTTTCTTATCTGACCACCCCCCACCACGTAACTGCTGGTTCTTCCATAACCAGGGTATTTTTTAAATAGTACCCTGCAATACTTTATGGTATTTTGGTTCGGGATAGACACTTGGTAGTAATTTTCTAATAAATGTGTGAATGATGAGGGAAATAAAAGTGATCCTATTTTAGATGCAGTCATCTCTGTGGAGTCCTCCCAAAACAGCCATCTACACTCCCACACAGCCTTCCCCTCTCTATTGCATATGATTCAGAGTTTAATCTATGCAAACATGCATATATAGCTACACAGAGACACATATTTACATGTATATTCACAGTACCCACTCACTAAACACATACAACTGTAATGTATTACTTCTGACCACCCACGGAACAGAGGTAACTAAACCACAGTCCTCAAGAAACCCACCTATCCATAAAGGGACTAAGCCATGAAGAAAAAGAGCAGAAATAAAAGCCAGTGCTTTGAAGTTTCTGTGTACTGTCCACTAAACTGCACTCAGCAGCTAGCTAATCAGACAAGGGCACGAGAAGGGACAGATTCTTCAAAAGTGGTCTCATCTGTGCACTCTAGAGAGTGGCCAAGCTTACCAGAAAGCAGGAGAAAAAGCAGACACTATGTGGCTAAATGCTTCAGAGGTTAGCCATTTACCAGGGTGCAAGGGTCAGAGACAGAAATAATCAAAATCAAGGCTGAGAAATGATACCAGCACATGCCCCTCTGAGAATGGGCTCATTTCCTTGCAAACAGCATATAATCTAACACATATAGGTACCCGCTAAGTATTTGTGGAAGAAGGGAGTGAGGAAGCTGAACTTTGTCTGGAAAGCAATAGGAATGATGGCAGTTTCTGTGCTATTTGTCTCTGTGTTCCAAGTTGCATCAACTGCTCTGGAGTTTCTCCTGTGAGGGGGGCCCTTCCGCCTCCCTCCTCCCACCCACCTCACTATAAATGCTAGCCTGAGGAGGTGGGCACTGTGAGTCAAAGAGGGGAGACCCAGTGACATAGATGGTCTCCCAGGGTGAGAGCATGTTCAGAACAGGGGCTCCCTGCCCCCATCAACACCACCACCATTAGTACCAAGATCTTCTCCAAGCTCCTCCTTTCTTTAAATTTACCCAGCTTTAGTCTTTCCCCAGCCCCTCTCAGTCAGGCTAACCTCCCTGCCACCTGGGCTTCCTGCCCCTGCCCGGGGACTCGGGGAGGGCACCTGTGGGGAGAAACTTTTTTGTATCAAAGTATAACATTGTGGGGACTGGGGGGGGGCACGATGATTCAAATAGAGGAGGTGCTTTTACAAAAAGCTCTACCCCTGAGAACGTGAACTCTCAGCCCAAGGAATGCATTTGCCGTGTGAGGAGGGGGTCTATGTGAGTGGTCCCACAAGGTCTTACAGTTAGCTATGAATTTCCTTGCCCTAGACAGCTTCCCATGAATGTGAAAGCCAGTCCAGGGAAGTAGGTTCACCATTCAGCCCCTTTTATAAGGCTTACCCTTGGCAAAGTATCTGTACATGCATGGTAAATTAAGAACTCAATAAAAATATTAAGCAAATAAATAAACACGTTGTGGGAAAGGTATTAAAAGTCTTTTCTCATCAGAGGCTATCCAACCCTACCAGGAAGCCTTCAGATTTCAAGTTCATTGAGTCAACCCCCGAGGGAATTAGGTGGATATTGCTTCCCAAGCCAAATGTTGCATCTCCTCTTCAAATTTAGGTTGGCCTCACGCAATGTCCAGATTGCCTTGTCAGTTCTGGAGTTAGATGGAGAATCGGGTAACCCTGGGTCTACACTAAGGAAGGTGAGGAAGGAGGAAGAGTTCTTGGCAGCCCTTTTCTGCTGTGTTCCTATGCTGAACAGTTCTTCGGACCAGGGACTCGACTCACGGTGCTAGGTAAGAAGGCAGCAGCCGCACAGGTGGGAGAGAAGGTAACATAATCAGCCAGGGAGACCGACCCCTGGAGCCAGAAAGCCTTAGATGGGCGCTTAGCCATCCAAGGCCCTACATCAGGGAAGACGGGGTTTGTGCCAGCAACCCCCGAACTGTGCAAACACCGGGCAGCTGTACTTTGGGGAAGGCTCCAATTTGACAGTGTTGGGTAAGCAGGGCAGCTGGAGGGCTACCATGGGGGTAAGATGGACCGAGGAGGGCAGCTGTTCAGCTTCCTCTCAGTCTGAGCTGACCTGCCCAGGCGGGAGGGATTTCTGGACTGGATGCTGGCATCAAGAGAGCACTCAAGGTTGATGGGGATCTGAGCCAGGGTTGGGATGGCAGGGGTGGGCAACACTGAGTTTTTGTCCTGAGCCTGGAGGCTGTGAGCACAGAAACGCTGTATTTTGGCCCAGGAACCAGACTGACCGTGCTTGGTAAGTTGGGACCTAGTGATAGGAGGGGCCAAGGGAATGGGCAGGCATCTCCTTACCGGGATTCCCAGGTAAGAATGGCCAGGGCCAGTTTTTGTGCTGTAGCAAGGGGCTGTGAGCCAAAACACCCAGTACTTCGGTGCAGGCACCCGACTGTCAGTGCTAGGTGAGTTGGGGTGTTTTTGTGCTGGGCTCTGGTGCCGTGAACCAAGATACCCAGTACTTTGGGCCAGGCACGAGGCTCCTCGTGTTAGGTGAGCTGGGGTCCCAAGCATGGTGGCTGCGGGCTGGGGCTGCAGTGGGCGCGGGTGCCTTGGCCGGGTTTCTGTGGGGAGTCCCCGGGTTGTGCTCCGCAGACCTTGTTTTCAGGACTGGCAGCCAGTTGACCATGCTAGGTGAGCTTCTCGGCAACTGCAGCGGCGAGCCTCGGGGCTGCTGGTGTCTTTGCACGGGATTCCCAGCCCCTGTGCAAGGCTGAGTAGCGTGGAGATTGTCACAAAACTGGGGACTAGCTCGCTGCACTGCATTGCGCGGGTTTGCGTGTGGGTTTGCGCCTCTGTGCTCCTATGAGCAGTATTTCGGTCCGGGCACCAGGCTCACGGTCTTAGGTAAGATTCGGGTATCTCGCGCGCGCTCCCATCCTTAGTTCCTGGGTCCCCGGGGGTGGGGGGGGGGAGTTTGGGGTAGATCGGGGTTAGGGCTCCCTGTCGAGTCTGCAATAGGATACAGCTTCCAACTTCACCGCTTCTGGGAGGGCTGCGTGAGGGAGGATATTGGGTGCCAAGCATTGCTCTCGCAAGCCAGGACAGAGTCGGTTTAGTTCTTTTTTCTCTGCGGTTTGCACGCACTGGGTGGGAGGTGGAGAAAAGGATTTATCAGGACTCCGGAACAAACTTGTTTTTGAAAATAAGTAACAGGAGAGCAAAGTAACAGGAGAGAAAAGGGCAGATATAGAGGCAGGGGGTTGTCAGGGGTGTTGCCGCTGACCTCTAGGATGGTCTCATTGGCAAAAGTTGTTCAAACGAGGGTCTTTTCAAAGGAGGAGAATGTGCCAGGCAAGAAACCAAGGACAGACAGATAAACATAAGCCAGAACAGAAGAATCAAAAGTCTGGTGGTGTTGACATGCTATTGATTTTTAAACTCCATCCACTGTTTCCCTTCTAAGTTTGGAATCCCTTGAAGCAGGGATGGGAGCCTAGTGACATGCTTCTATACCTTCTCATGGCTAGTCAGCCCCAAGTCAGGGAGATCTTATTCACTGGGGTCTATATATCCTCAGGTTATTCCCCTGAATCCTGACTCAAAATCTTCATTGTTCACACCATGTATTCCAGGCTAGACAGACCAGATCATGAAGGGAGTTTGTTGATGGTAAGCACACATTAAAATCAAATATTTAGCCTGGGAGATGAGGAAAAATGCTTGAACAACCTTAGGATCCCGATACTAGAATAGACCTTAACTATCACTTGGCAATGGGGGCCACGGCTATAGAAGAGAAATAACTCACAGGTTGGGAATGTGAAGCTGTATTATTTGATAACCATAACAACAGTGGACACCATTTGTGGTTAGAACACGAAGCTGAATCCAAGGGGACTCAGCCATGTAAAAGTGTGCCTAAAGGAAATTCTGGTTCCCTGTGGTCAGGTGGGATAGAGAAAAGAGTCAGACATTATAACCAGATGAGGCTAAATTCGGTCCTGGCTCTTTGGTGATAAGGTAAGCTTAAGCAAGTTAATGTGCGATCCTCTTCTGTGGATACAGATGTGGAGGTGGTTTGAGAAGGAGGAAAAGGAATTTTATAATTTTTCCCACAGCAAGTCCAGTTCACAAACAAATCACATCCCAACAGCAGCTTACTAAAACACAGTTCACTTTCACAGGCAATTCTACCTCCCAAGAATCCTCGGGGACTCACACAAATGGATTTACAGCTACCCCCAGTCTCCCCGTGGTGTGATACGAGTAATACTTAGGGTATAGTGAGCAGCTGCTTCTATTTGTCCTGACTATGGTGTTGATTAATAGAGAACAGAATGCCTGACTCAGGCAAGTCTTTGGCTTTTGCAAGAGGAACTAGATGAGGACTGAGCAAGATGGTCAGTTCCATAGAAGCCTGGGAGACTCTCAATGCCAGTATCTATGAGACAGAGTTAGGCTAGTCAGACCAAAAGCAGAAAAATTGATAAGAGTCATGTACCACAGAGAGAAGTAAGATTATTACCATTTCCATGGAGGTCCATTGGACCTAAATAAATAAAAAATGAGGCATTAGGGGAAAAAGAGGCTGAGCAGAAGCAGAGGCAGCCAGGATGCTTCCGCGCTTAGCCAAAAATAAAAATGTGGCAAGGTGTGGTGACCCACATCTACAATCCCAACACTAGACACTAGGGAGACTGACCCAAGTGGAATGCCATGAATGTGAGGCCAATCTGGGCTCCACAATGAGTTCTAAGCCAGCTTGGACTATATAGTGAGTTCTAGGCCATGATGGACCACAGAGGAAGATGCTGTCAAAAAAAATAGGGTAATGAAAAATGTGGAGACTTCTACTAAAAAGAAACAGAACTCCGAAGTGACGGCTGCAGAGGTTGACACCAAGCACTAAGCCTGTGATCTTGCATAAGAATTCTGCAGACTGGATGCCAATGACATGAGCCCTGGAATGAGGTGATATCCGTAGAAATATAAGAAAGGGGCAGAGGAAAGTTTCTCCCTTATCCAGAAGACTGTGGTTTGCTGAAACAAAATGTATCTATCTCTGCATTTTCGCCAAATTGCTTGGAAACAAAGAACAGCCAGGAAAATGCAAAGAACTGGTGGTATTTGGAGGCAGAGAAGTTGATAGGTTTATTTCACACACCACAAAATTCAGTAAACCTTACATCCTGAACACACTGTAGACCAAGGTATCTTCACATCCAGGTCATGAAAATAGGTCATCTATAGATTGTGGTCTGAGGGAAGCTTCCTTATGCCAAATGGCTATCTCATTCTTAATTATCCTTCATTCCTCTGCCCCTTAGCTTCAGATACAGAAACCCTGGCTAAGGCAGGATATCTTGAATCCTTATGTCAGTTCTGGAAGTCAGTGCTGTGCATTTCATTTTGCAAGCATAGAAAAACTGATGCAGAGACATTCCAGAGACTCTCCCATGGTCACATGGGCGTGGAAGGTCATTGCTTGAGATTCAGTTTCTGTAATTCTGATTTCTGTGGCAGGCTCCTTTTAACTGCTACGTATAATAATCAGAAGTAGCCTTTACTTGATGGAGGATGATTAAAACACTGTCAATAAAGGAACATTGTGCAGAGTGTTGGGCAGGACCATTTATAGTATCCCCTTATGAGAATGGAAGGCCAGGGAATACTGGATGAATACAAGTAATGGGCAAGAAAAAAAAGAGAAATGGAGTAGTGATTCCAAAGCAAATGGGGCCTGCTACAACACACTTGCTTTTTCAGAAACTCTCTCAGCCCTCAGTCATCTCAGATACTTACAGTCTCTACTGGACTCAGAGAGTGGTCAACAAAATGCTAATTCCACCCCTCTTTACTTTCCAGAGGACCTGAGCAAGGTGAGCCCACCCAAGGTCACCTTGTTTGAGCCATCAGAAGCAGAGATCATCGACAAACAAATGGCTACCCTCGTGTGCCTGGCCAGGGGCTTCTACCCTGACCATGTGGAACTGAGCTGGTGGGTGAATGGGAAGGAGCTCCGCAGTGGAGTCAGCACAGACCCTCAGCCCTCCAAGGAGACCAATAACATCACCTACTGCCTGAGCAGCCGCCTGAGGGTCTCTGCAACCTTTTGGCACAATCCTCGCAACCACTTCCGCTGCCAAGTCCAGTTCTATGGGCTTACAGCTGAAGATGAGTGGGACAAGCCCTCGCCCAAGCCTGTCACCCAGAACATCAGTGCAGAGGCATGGGGCCGAGCAGGTATGTGGGACCTGGGGGTGTTGGTGAGGAGACTGTATAGCACCAGTATCCTAGAAAAATGGAAAGATCCATGTAGAAGCAAAGAATAGACCTAGCAGAAAGCCAGAGTGCTGGAAGTGATGATCAGGGACATGGTGTTAGAAAACCATAGCATTTACTTCCTCCCACAGCGTACTTAAACTTAATGGGGCAGCTCAGGCCCATTGGTTCCCCTGTCCTTTAGTGCCTCTGATCTGTGCTGATAGGTTCCCTCACACCTACCATGCAGCCCAGCATCTATGTGCTGTGTCTCAGCCACATTATTGGTCCTAGATTTTTAAGGCTACAGTGATAGTGGCTTGTACTTGTCCTTCAACCTAAGAAAGACAGTGTGAGGAGGGTGCTTATACCATCTGACTTGCACTTGTCTGTGGCCTTCGAGTCCAGCTTTAAATTTTGCTGTTTAGGGCTCAATATTCCCAAGCAGTGACATTCGCTCACCCATTTTTTCTCCCTCTCTCTTCTTTCAGACTGTGGCATCACCTCAGGTGAGTAAGCCTCCCCCCTTTCTCTGAGTTCTTCCACGGTCTGGGCTCTGGAAAGCCAAGAACCTACAGAAACCGAGGACGAGGGTGACCATTGCCACCTGCTCACAGGCACTGTCCATTTTTCCTTTCCTGTCAACAGAATCCTATCGCCAGGGGGTTCTTTCTGCCACCATCCTCTATGAGATCCTACTGGGGAAGGCCACCTTGTATGCTGTGCTCGTCAGCGCCCTGGTGCTGATGGCCATGGTAAGAATGGAAGGATCGGACAAGCAGTTGAAGGGAGGGTATAGACTACTGTACCTGGAATGTAAGGGAATCTCAGAGGAGGACCCAGCCCCCAATATATCCTGTCATCTCAAAAAGACCATAAGGGACACCGACCAAAGAGAAAAATGAAGAAACGGTTATGTATGCACTCTTGGCAGATGAAGAGAACCAGGGAGCTCTTTTCAAAATCATACTGGAGAATCCACCTAATCTGACCCCTCCCCCTACTTCATGGTTCCTGGCTCTTTAATGAGACCTTTTCCTCCTCAGGTCAAGAAAAAAAATTCCTGAGACCAACTCTTGTGCATCCTGGGTTGTTCACGATCCTAGTCCTGGATTCTCCTGCACCTTCTCCAATCCCTGTTCTTCCGGAGTTGTTCTTTATTCAAAGCATCTCTTCTTCCTCCATGGATATCTGTCCTTCCTTGCCACTACCCAAAGACTGACCTCTTGACTCTGAAGCAGACTAAATCAATAAAAAATGTTGAGCTGGGCCTGGTTGTGTCTCAGCAGCATCTTTGGGGCCTTTATTGTTTAGTGCTGTTACTGACACTCCTACTGGTCTGAAAAGGCAAATGGAGGTGGCAAACCTGCTTCCTTGCCAAAAATGTTTCTTTCTCCTATGTACTCAAGATCCTCCAAGGAGCCATTTTGTCTGAAGGGCAATGACTGTGTCCTGGAACACCAGCAGGATATGGACAGAGAAAGAAAACTACCCCTAACAATAACCCCACCCATCACAGCGCAGAGGCTAGGCAGACCTAGAGATTACAGAGCCCAGGCCTTTTGTTACAGCTTTGAGTTTTATCTGTGTCTATCCTTAGTATCATTGGCTTATCTTGTTTGAAAGTTTTAACTAAAGATCTGTGGAACTTGGCTAGGTGGTTGTGGTGCACGCCTTTAATCCTAGCACTCAGGAGGCAGAGGCAGGCGGATCTCTGTGAGTTCGAGGCCCGCCTGGGCTACAGCACAAGTTCCAGGACAGGCTGTAAAGCTACACAGAGAAACCCTGTCTCAGAAAACCAAAATAAAAAAGATCTGTGGAACTCTCCATGTCTAGCCTCAGGTTTTAGAGAAGACAATGAGAGTAGAAAAACTGGCAGATGAAGTTTAGGAACAGTGGTCTCCCCGGGATCATGGCACACAGCATCAGATTCTGGGTGGGGTCCAGTAGAGACTAAGGTATCACACATGAAGTGTAACCCTTCCAGTATGTAAATTTCCTTGTTAGATTGAGACCAGAGCACCCTGGGCTGAGGAAGTTAGGTGCCACTCCTAGACAGAGACAGTTACCTTAGCAGTGTAGACTGTGTGGTTTAATCATTATAATAGAACAATTTACTGGGCAGAGATTAGAGAATGCATAGCACAGAACGGTGACAAGGCCTGCTTCAAAGTCAGTTGCTAGTGTTGGGGTGAGAAGCAAAGTCTAAAACCTAAGAAAGGAGAGGACAAGGAGGAAGTGCCTTCCTGAGAGACTGCTCACTGTCTCTGGGTCTTAGGCTAAGCAGTGACACGTGCATTTATAATTATAGTGACACTAAAAGGAAATTATTTCCCTAGTTCACAGCTGTAGACACGGGAGTTTGCAGATCAAATAGTAACCATGGAAACTGCAATATGTTTTTCCAAAGATAATGATTCTAGAAGCTTCCCCCTCCCGGTGACCTTGATGGTGTGCTCACTCATGGTGTCAAGGTGACCCTGGAGCAGTCACCATGATGGTGTGCTCATTCACAGTATCATGGTGACCCTGGAGCAGCTGCTCACAAGCTCTAGGAAAGTACCTCTAGAAAGAATCACACCGAGGCTGCCTAAGTTCCACAGAATATCAGTTTTTCAGGGCTGCCAACACAACATGTACAAGACATACAACAAAGTGCCACCGAGTGGTTTGGGGCAGTAGAAATCAATTCTCTTACAGTTCTGGAGGCCCCAAGTCCAAAAGCATCACATTGCCAGCATGTCAGTGCTCTCCGGCAGTTTCAGGGAAGAATCCTTTCTTGCTCCTCCTCCTTCCCATTGCTCTCAGTACTCCTGGTCTTGTGCCAGCTCTGCCTTGGCCTTCATGTGGCACTCTATCCCATGTTTCCATGTGTGCATGCCCTTCTCCTCTCTTTCTACACATGAGTCATTGGATTTGAGACTCACCTTAAGTCCTGAACATTTCCATTTTTAGCCTTTTATCAATTGCAGATGAGGAGACCTTTTTCCAAACAAAGCCTCCCTTGGAGGTTCTGGGTGGGCATGATCCTGGAGGTACACTATTCCTTTCAAGACATTACATGTCCAGAAAGTAAAATTGGAAGGCTCCAGATTGGGAGTTTTCATAGCCCAGAAAGGATAAGCTTCTTGTCAGGCTCGGCCTAGGAGATCGTAACATTATAGTTACATCTATAAATGGTAACTTTATAGATGCCTCCAATTACACTAAGGCTTTGTGGTTTTGGTTTTCTATGGGTAATTATCTTTGTCACTTGTGTATATTTTTACTGTAGTTGTTTTGATGATGGCTAAAATATATAATAACAGTGGGGATGGGTTTTAAGTTCTACACCTGCATTCACAAAAGATGTCTTCCACTCCCTAGACCTATGGAGGTAATAAGCACATGTGGTGTTTCCATTCTCATGTGGGGGTGGGAAGATAAGTACATGAGAGATGCCAGCAAATGCTTTGGAGAAACTGGAGTTGTGTGGACCAGGGAGATTAGAGTAGGGAGGGATGTTAGAGAACAGGGTGTGAATAAGTAGATCGGCGACAGACTAAGCACCTTTAGCACTAGACCCGAGTGGAGGTGGGGAGAGGATAGCTCCGTGTGGGAGATAACTGGGTCTGAAGGCTTGGCAACTGTTTGCTGTTGGGTGCAGAAAGCAGGCACAGCAAGAGGTGGCAGGCTGGAGGAGGAGAGTTTGCCAGCAGGCCTTTCCTCTGGAAGACACAAGGCCAGAAGTAGTTCAACCCTCTCAGTCCAGGGGGCATAACAGAGGTGGAGTTACAGACTCTACCTCAACCCCATCCAACACTTTGCAGGATGGAGGGAAGCCTCCAAATCTCTCTCCAAGTCTTAACTGCAGTTTCCCTGTCTGTCCCAAAGGACACAATTCACAACACTCCCAGCACTCAGAGCCTCAGCCTCTTTCTCTAGAATCAAAGTGGATCCTTTTGGACCAATCCAGGGGTCCTTTCCATTCTCCCTGAGGGTAAGCTGAGCAAAAAAATGGTTGAGCTAGGGCTATTTATAATGTTTGTCATAGTATCTAAAACAAGTGAGCACAGCAAGGCTACTGAAGAGGTGTGATTTGAGGACACAGAGAGTGAAGTGTGACTGTTCTCATAAGACCGGAGCACAGGACATCTCAGGGTGGAAGTTCTGAAACAGAGTTATTTTTGCAAAGGGAAACACCAGAGAGATTCTTCATTTATCTGAATAGGTCCACTTGTTCTAGACTCAAGGCTGATATAACTTGTTTGTCATTGAGAAAGACAAAATGTATGACAGGGTCCACAGCAAACTCCACAAATGTCACCAGTGCCAAGACAAAGCATGCTTACTGGCTGAAGAGACTCACATAAAACATTCTCTGAAAAAACTCCTGAAGGTTCCCAAGTTCTCACAATGTTGTGAGACACTGCTGAGTTCCTCATAGGTAGCACTCTCAGAGAGGAACTAACTCACAACCTTTATCGATCTGTGAATTATGAAGGGTAAGGAGACAGCTAGCAGGCATGTGATAGTGATAATTTCCTGGAAGGCAAAAGGAAGGATTCCTGCGTGGATGGCACTGGAGTCAACTCCATTTGCCCAGAGGAACTTTCCTATTGGCACCAGTGTCCTTGGAGATCTTCCCACTACAGGATTCAGTGCTGGGCTATGTAAGCGTGAGGACTGGAGATGCTTCAGGAGTCTGTAGGATCACCTGGGAGACAAAGGTCTGCTTTTTCTTAAAGAAAGCAATTAGGGTCGGGTGGTGATGAAGCACACCTTTAATCCCAGCACTCAGGAGGCAGAGCCGGGCGGAACTCTGTGAGTTCGAGGCCAGCCTGGTCTACAGAGCGAGATCCAGGACAGGCACCAAAACAAAAATAAAAAAAGCAATTAGGGAGGAAGGAGAAAAGGACATTAGAAAAAGAGCTGACATACTTCCAAGGGATCCTGTTAACGACTCCATGTCTTATTTTTAGCCATTTCCCCATTTTTCTTCTTTGTAGTGGTCCAGAGAGAACTGTGTGATGCGTGGTCCTACATGTCCTATATAAGAGTTTTTTATGAGGTGTAGATGTAGGAGTGGAGGATTGGGTCTTAGAGTCCTCTGCTGAAGTTCTGTATTAAAACACAAGTGTAGCCATGCCTCATCAGTTCCACTTAGAGTGTTGGGGAGTAGAAGAGTGGCTAGAGCCCCCAAGTCAGTTCTCAGCTTGCTCAGGAGATCTGGACCCAAACACAAAACATGTCATAGTGTTAGGTTTGTGATATATTTCCTCCTCCCTCCTAACCTGTGTATTTGCAGATCAAAAATCCCTTCATTTTCTACCACGTTGCCTCTCTTTAAGATTTACTTTGCTAATGTTAGTTCTTACATGAAATATCTCCTTCCAACAGGCAAGATATATTCAGGTAACTATTCCCATCACCTAAGTCCCAGCTACATGTTTATTTTCTCTCTCTATCCATAGTCTTTTCATCTCCTGTAGATATTTACTGAAGATGAAGACGGCTGCCTGGGCGGGGGTGGGGGGTCAGTATCTCTGAGAAGAGTAAATACCATCTGTTGGTCAGCAAACAGAGTTAAAATGGGCCGACTATTGTGTCTGTTTTCAAAGTTTCATCCGACTTTTAGAAAACTGATTTCAGCTCTTATCTATGAATGTAACAGTGTCTTGATGCCATAAGCACAGCCACCCACCGTGTTCTAACCAGATTCATTGTTCTAGATAAGTGATGGGTTTGGAAACAGTGACGTCAGCTCCAAGTCTTAGGACACATGAGCAATCACAGCTCTACACATTCACTATATGGTCAATGGTCTTAAATGGACCTTGGACTTACAGACCATCTGCATGTTAAAAAACAACAGCACAGTGTTGAACTCTCTCACTCTTCCCACTTGTCTGAATAAGTCCTTCAGCCACTAGGCATCTCTACAAAGAATTTCTACCTATTTAAGTATCCATGAGTCTTACCATGCATAGTTTCCTCAGGTTAAAGTTCTGTCCCCCTGAGAGAGCTTCAGAAGGCAGTTGGAACTCTTGGAGAGGACTACATAAACCTATGAGGGAGAATAATCTTCACTTTAAAAACTGTGACTGCAATGAACATAGACTTTAAAGACAAAAGGATCTGGATTTGGGCTTTATTCCTGCATCTTCCCAGCTATGTGACTTTAAGCAGGTGGCCACCAAAGATTCGGCTTCCCCTTGTATTAAATAGACTCACTCAATTACAACCCCTTACTTAGTCCATGCAATGTTCCAGGTTTTAGCATGGGGTTGA